AGCTTTTAGGCAAAACCGATATGTCTGCGCCGGTGTCAATTAAGTAGTGCAGATTTGACTTACGATCGCGAAGGAACAGGCGATTTGGTTTGGTGCCGTCCGACAACGCCTGTAGATGCGGCGGCTGCGCTAGTTTTCCGGTTTCTTTGCCGATTCATAATTGCAAGGCTGCTGACATTTCTTAGCCTTGGTATCGAATTGTCGATGGTACCAGCAAATTGAATTTTCACCTTGACTACGTTCGGAGGATCCTAACCTACTGCTAGGTTTTCTTGATTGTCGTGAGTGAGATCTTCGTCGTGAACGTTGTCCACGTAATTCTCTGGCTAATGCATCAATACGCCTATTTAAATCATCTATGGGATTGCTAGAGATCGCTTGGGCTGCATTGGAGGAAGCTATGGCGTTAATTGTAGGTTTGGTAATCTCGTATATTCTATCGGCTTGAGAAGCTAATATGGATAAATCTGTGACTTCGCTAATTGCTAAGACTGATCTTACATTCTCGGGCAATTGTTCAAGGAATAAGGTGCGCAAGACTGAATCATTACATTGTCCGCCAGCCAGGTTTCTGAGTCGCTGCAAAAAGTTAGACGGTTTATCGTCGCCGAGCTCGTTACCGCGAATAAGTTTTCTCAATTTAGATTCGCCGGTTTCATCGAAAGAACGTATGATTCGATCTTTAAGAGCTTGATATTTTCCAGTTGGTGGAGGGTTAGCAATAATGTCCGACACGAAAGGTAGTGCTGTATTATCCAGATGCAAGACAATATACCTGTATTTTGTATCGTCATAAGTGATACGAGAAATGCTGAATGCAGCTTCTGCCTGTGCGAACCATAACGCTGGATTTTCTTTCCAAAATGGCGGGATTTTAGCGTACGTTGTTGCGCCGATGCCAGTTGGCGGGAGAAATACTTCGGCAGGCGTTGGTTCTTGTAGATTGCTGGCTGTGTCGCCTGATGCTTGGAAGTTGATGAGAGATGAAACATTTGATGATTCAGCACCTGCTTTTGTGGGTGTATGCTCGGTAGGCATGGTTGGATGATTTTAGCTGCAGATGCTCGTGTTCCGATGCAAGATCTCCAAGGAATTACCGATCACGTCGGGGTCACCAATTGTGGGAACTGGTAATGTGTTCCGACAAACAACTAATGCTGTATTTATAATTACAAACTGA